AACACCCCTTAGCTGTTATAAATTCACTGTAAACCACGGCTTCTCGGGGCTTATTGCTTTAGCAGAATTGTTCTTTTTGGGTGAACGATCCCGTTGACAACGCCATGAACTCATTTCAGCTCCAGCTAATGCTTTGTCAAGCCTCAGCTGCCAGCGCCCGCCGTCCTGCCATCTGTCCTGCAGAGACACAAACACAAGCCTCCGCTAGTGAAACCCGAGCGCGCACAGCGACTCTCAAACACATGGGAAAGAAGTGTGTACAGACACGTCCCCACAGCGTGGCTTTACAAGCGCTTCGTCATACCTGCATCTCTTTCACTTTGCTGGCTGGGACGTCGAAACACACACCCTGAGAGAGAAACACACACACAGGAGCCGTTAGAAATCAAGCCCTGAACTCTCAAAAACAAACAGAGATGCAGATCCTCAGTCTCACTTAGGGCCGTGCCATTATTGACAAAAAATGATATTTTCTGGGATTTTATCGATGACGATAATTAGACGATATTTTGCTGAGTGTGTTATTGTGCTGATATCTTAAGGACTGCCGTGGACAGCTGACTCAAAGTTTTTGATATTTTTCACATTCTGTGTGGTGGTCAGTTCACAGCAGTGACAGAAATTAATCTTTCCCAATAAGATTAAAATAGGGTTGTAACGGTTCACAAAATTCACGGTTCGGTTTGATACGACACAGCAGTGTCACTGATACAGCAAACACAAAGAAATGCCAGAGAAATTTAAATTATTTTATTATTAAAACATCATAAAATATGATCTTAAGGCATTTTAACCGTTGCCGTTTATCCAAGATGATTTTGGAAGCTTTTTTAACATTGGTTTCTTATTTATTTGGTTCCACCGCGTTTGCTGATTTTCAGTGTTTAAGTTATTTGTTATTTTATATTAGGCCTATAGCATGGTGTATTTGTACTTGTTTTGTTAATAAATGAAACATTCTGTGTTTAATGTGAGTTTGTCGTACTGTCTTGTTGTTGTCCATTTAATCAATTGACGCCGAATTGACGCTAATTCGAAAGTAAAATGCACACAGGCATTTACAAGCCATTTAAAAGCGAATAAAAGAAAACTATAACGAACTACCTCACCATCACAACCTGGAGTACATTATATTTCACACACTTCAAGCTAATTTATTTTCCAAATGTAATAGGATCACTCCAACCAATCGTTTGGTTTGTAATGCGTACCGAACCGAAAGCCTCGTACCGAACGGTTCAATACAATGTGTGTATCATTACACTTCTAGTTTAAAATTATTTGTACCTTTTATGGGCATTTTTACCTTTACAAAGCCATTTTTTCTAAACGTGTGCTTTATCTTTTCAGTCAAATTACTACATTTAATCAGTGTATTATGAAATCAGTATCAACTAAATTCATCTTTGCAATGCAGAAGAAACACAGAAGCTGCATCTGAAGAGGCATTTAGATGTGTTTACACACGGTTTAGTGCAGGACATGAATGCATTTATAATGTTTTGATATATTAAACATAAAACGTTGAATACTGTTATTTGAAATTATTTAAATAAAAAGATATTTTAAATGTGAAATTAAAACTGCCAGTAGGTGGCAGCAAGTGACTGTTAATGAGTGAGTCATTGCGATTGAACCGAATCATTTAAACGGCTGATTCATTCAGGAACGAATCACTGTCACGTTGCTCAGAGATGCAGAACCAGGAAATATGGTGTCTAAAACATAAATCTCTTAAATTCTTTTTTTTATTGAAGGGCCGTAAAAAAAAATCAGTATCTCAGTAGTGTAATGGTAATTTTTGGATGAAAAAAATGCCCCCATGTCTTGAATTTGTGATCATTCTGAAGGTATTTTAATAAATTTAATCATGCAGTGAAAGAACGTACTATAATATACGCACACTAGACTAGAGTTCATGTAACGTATGAGTGCACTCTGTAGGGGTGTTTTGAATGGTTTTTGTAATATACTCAATGTCAAATTGCACATCGTCAAAACAATAATTACGATATTATTGCAGACGACATATCGCGCACACCACTAGTCTCACTGCTAATTTAGTCATTTATATGCTACCATGATTTAGAAATAACAAACAGTCAGAATATCGCGCCTTAAGTGAGAATTTGGGTATATGCGCAAATGTGTTATAGTAATATGTGAAAATAAATCAATAATAATACAGGACAAGTAATTGATAAAACTGATCAACAAAATCCATCATTGATTATTCATCAGGTCTGTGCACAGAAACTCATCAGTGATATCCGCAGCTCAAGAGGTCTTTGTATATGATGTAGAGACTGTAGGAACAACACGTGAGCATTTTTCCTAGCATACAATACTTGCATTTGATGCTCACACTGACTGTAAATGTTTAATAATGTTAAATTCAAATGCAGAGTATTTCCACTTTACATAAAGGCCTGTCCTGACCTTAGTGTGTGCATATATCAAAATGTGTACATGTATTTCACATTAATATTTCAGAGTATTCATTTCGATTAAAATAACAGTTCTGAGACGTTAAATGCACCTTTACAACCGCCCATATGTTTACCTCAAACCTTAGTGTTGCAAGCAATATCTCGATGCATATTCACTGTAACGGCATAGTGTGTGTGCATGCTTCTACTGATCAGTTTATGCTTTTTAATTTTAAAAAATTATCGTTTTATTATTATTATTATTATTATTATTATAGGAGAACTGGATGTTGAATAGTGTGGGCTTTTTCATACCACAGAATAAAAAAAGAGAGCGAAATCTATTAAGAAAAATGCACTATCACACCCCTAATTTAGATTTACTGAGAGTCAGGCAAACTCAAATATATAAACGTTCCTTTAATTGTGCAATTTTTCTGTCATATTTGCTGTCATTAGTTTCTAATCACACGTTTTGGCAATGCATCCCAGCGACTGTATGTCATCCTGACTGAGGAGCACTAAATGCCGTCTTGGCTTCAGTAAACACGTACCGTCCTGCCCTTGAGGAAGGTCATGCGTTTGATGTGCTCATCGATTCCTTCCCCGAGCTGCTCCTTCAGGCCGCGCCAGGCGAAGCCGATGTTGTGCATTTCTTGAGAGCAGTTCAGTATCATGGTGGAGAACCCCTGAGAGAACGAGACACGCTTCATAAACCTCTGCTGAGTTTCACACTGATTCAATAACTCTGCATTAACTGTAGAAAGACAGTTGTGCTGTGTGAGGTGTTTGCTGTGGTGTGAGGTGAAGACGTACGGCATCGGAGCTGATGAGGGACCTCTGCTCCAGGCTGGTGGCTCCTGATATGTGAGCGAGGGCTGCCGCCAGTGCCTCCTCCGCCCCGCGCTGCTCGATCAGTTCACGCGCCGCCTCGCGGAAATACCCCACCGCCACGGCCGGGACCGAGTCCAGAAACCTGCAGCAGCAGCGTACATCACATTCACGGTAAATAAAACATTAATCTCTGCATGCACATCAGCGTGATGATTAATCTGAGTGTCTCGGACCTCACGGCGTCTTTACTGGAGGACTGGATGATGTCGTTGGCCGTCGGGACCCCGACCCGTTTGAAGGTGATTCCCTGCAGCAGGCGAACACGAGACACGTTAGCGACGCAGGCGGCTATTAACCAGCCATCATTTGCTCAGCTGATGACACTGTGGTTCATTTACAGCTAAGGCATTATTCGGGCTTGATTCAGGACAACTGGGACATCTTGGTTCAATAAAAGTGTCACAATTTACCTCAATTATGTCATATTAAAATGTGACCCTGGAGCACGGGTATATTTGTAGCAATAGCCAACAATACATTGTATGGGTCAAAATTATCCATTTTTCTTTTATGCCAAAAATCATTAGGATATTAAGTAAAGATCATGTTCCATGAAGATATTTAGTAAATGTCCTACCGTAAATATATCAAAACTTAATTTTTGATTAGTAATATGCATTGCTAAGAACTTCATTTGAACAACTTTAAAGACGATTTTCTCAGTATTTAGATTTTTTTGCACCCTCAGATTCCAGATTTTCAAATATTGTCCTATCCTAACAAACCATACATCAATGGAAAGCTTACTCATTCAGCTTTCAGATGATGCATAAATCTCAAAAAAAAAAAAAATGACCCTTATGACTTGGTGGGTTTGTGCTCCAGGATCACAAATTTTAAATGATACAATAATAATAATAAAAAAGAAAAATAAAGCTTTTTGAATTTTTTAAAATTCAGACAAAATATCTTGTCGGTCAGATCTGTCTGATCACACGGTTTATCTATCATTTGTTGGTTAACCCATATTCACTCCTCTAACAGTGCCGGCGTCTCACCGCTTTCTGCTCCACAAACTTGAGCTGGCTCTCCTCCTTGCGCTGGTAGAAACAGATGCAGATGCCTGTTCTTCCAGCTCTGCCGGTCCGTCCAGACCGATGGATATATGATTCCACATCCTGCACTCACAACACAAGCTTAAGCTGTTACAGAGCATCTGAAACTACAGAGATCCTATCAGCAGGGACTCATCAAGGAATAGGACAAACATGCGCTAAAATACAGATGAAAGAAACATTTAAAAGAACCTACCAAATGTAGGAAACAGAAGAAGCAGAACTGAATTAGGGAGTGTAGGAAATCAACATAAAACCCAGTGTGATTGAAGTAAAAGAGGACAGCAGCGGTGGGACTGACGCACGTTTGGAGGAGCGCACTGAATGACCAGGTCCACCTCGGGGATGTCCAGGCCGCGGGCCGCTACGTTAGTGGCCACCAGCACCTCGAACGTGCCGCTCCTGAAGCCCTTGAGCGTGATCTCTCTCTGCTTCTGAGGGATGTCTCCATGCAGCGACTGCGCGCTCTGAACCACCAGACAGACACAGGAGAGTTAAACACAGCAGCAAGCAAATCATGCTCGCAATCAGACTGACAAGCCTTCATGCAAACACCTTAATCCATCCCACTGACATGTTGACCGCAGATCATTTCTAGCTCAATGGAGAGCACATGTAAACCCTCTCATCGGACTGGAAACCGAAACAGGACAGTACTGCGCATTAGGGCTGGGACAATACATTGATGCATCGCGAAGCGAGAAATGATTCTGCATCGATTCTGAGATCTTCCAAAGGCATCGTGATTGTCTCTTGAATCGATTCTGAGCTTAGTTTTGAACAGCAGATGGCGCCGCGTGCTTTTAGCCGTATTCTGCTGGTTTCCAAACCCTTACACGCGCACCACCTGAACCTAAAATAATCATTCATAAAGTTCAAAAAGGCTGAAACGAATTACAAGGATGTTCACAGTGGGCTGTGTTTACGTTAATCTCGCGCCATTAAAAGCCAATGTGCAACTTAAAAACTTACATGACTCAGCCGAACGCACAAGCGCTCTTCTTCGTGAGCATTTGAGTGTGTGCCATCTGCTGTTAAAAACTAAGCTCAGAATCCATTCCAGAGAGAATCGCCATGCATTCAGAAGATCTCGGAATCACGATGCATGGATTTATTGTCCCAGCCCTAGTGCGCATGTGCAATGAAGTAGAAATCGTGTGAAGGCGTGGAACGAGCTGTTGTTTGTGTAGTGTCATAAATGACCGTCACGTTCCTCGAAACTCTAAAGATCTCATCAGCTCTTGAAGCATGCGACACATCAACCCGATCACATTATTTAGCGTTCATATAAACACTAGGTTCGTCTTCATCGATCAGAATGACGTTGGGTATCAGTACAAACATGGGCAGTGCTGGTGAGGTGTGCGCAGTGCTGCACCTGTTTGATGGATGTGTTCATGGAGAGCTCAGTGGCGTCTCTCTTGGTCTCGCAGAAGACGATGGTCCGGCCGTGGCTGCCGCTGTACACCTGAACGACGTCGCCGATGACAGACGCCCGCTGAGACCAGTGACACGCGATCGCCAGGTGCTGCGCGCCAGAACACAAGCATCGAACGATTCAATAAACACTAGAACTGCGCGATATAATGGATGAATGACAGCAATAATTCATCATTACAAATCAGTTACACACTGCAATAAAATAAATAAATACAAACGGCAAATCACAAAGGCAATGAGACGTTTGTCCTGAAGCAGAATGAAGTTTTGCATGCAATTTTCTTGTCCTTCATCACATTAGATGCAAATATGTAAATGACACTGTCGCCACCTAGAGGAGGAAACCCTCGGCTGACTTTACAGAGACCTTTGGATCTATCCTCTTCTGATGACGGGGCATAATTATGAAATTGTGTTATTGTGATGTAATGTTGTAGACACACTGTGACAGATCTAGCTGAAGATATCATTTAACTACCCGTTTTTGTTTTCAAACCACATGTATTCTTTATTCTGACTAACGAGCACCATTAGATTTACTGACTCATGTTGGGAGCATTCCCACATTTTCACAAAGCAGGCTCACTGCATTACCTCGACTGTGGTGGCGGCTTTCTGGGTCTTCTTCCCGATGAGATCCACATGGATGAACTGAGAGCGCATGTATTTCTTGGCCACGTCGTAAACCCAGGAGGGACACGTCGCTGAGAACAGCAGCGTCTGCGGCTTCTCCTCTGCATCTACACGAGAAGAGTTCAGAAATCCTGCTCAGAGATGCAAAGAGACTTTCTGGAAACATGACGTACATTCTGGCTGTGCCGTTAATCGGAATCGTGATGAGACGTTGAGATTTGCTAATCGCTAAGCCTGCGATGTGGACACGATATTACTCTGAGATGCAAACAGCTGAGGGGGGAACATTGCTCAGACTTTCTTTTAGAGATGTGTTTCACTTCTAGTTACTTTAAGGTATTTTTACAAATATTTGTTATGGCCTTATGTGTCCAAAACTGTAATTTTTCACAACAAACAAACTCAAGATTGAATATAAAATCAAGATTGAATATATTTGGCCAAAATCCCATGTTATAAAAGATGAATATTATAATATTAGACTCTGCTTACACTCTCTTCAGCGTTCCCACATCTCAGCCCTCAAATGCATAAACCATTACCCTTTTTAGATATTACTCCCCCACTTTCTCATTGAATCCAAGCAAATCTCATACGTGACCTATTTTGATCTCAAAAAACTGAGTTGTCACTGAAAGGTGAGTAGTTTGCATCTATGTACTGCCAGCCTTGAGTCTTACTAAGCAATAGAGCGAGCGCACCTCCATTCTCCCCAATCAGCACTACTCTAGCCAACCGAATAAACACCCACCATTAAAACAACAACTAACAGAAAGCGGGAGAGAGTTAGGCAAATTAATACTAAAGAAAACGTATGTAATATGAGATTACTTCGGCTTCGAAATGACAGACACCAAACAAAAAAGGTAGGATTCCCTGCAGAAAAACAACAATAGAACCCCTCCCAAAACACAATAGGAAACGTAATGGATTTAAGGGGGTTATATTGGCTTTAATGTAAGCTATAATGGTGTCTACTGGTATCTGACGGATTCTATTGGTGGGATGTAATCTGGCAGATGGGAAACAACAGAACAACAGTAATTCCTATTGGAATAATGCCCAAAACACACGACAAAAAGGAATTGTTTTAATGGAAACCATAAGAATTTCTGTGATGTGACGAAGCCCATACTGTGCTGCACACTACTGACAATATTAAGCTGAAGCTTGACTTTGCAAAAATAAAATCGCAATATCCGTCAAAAAAAAAGAAACATTTGCAATATTTGATATTTTCCCCAAATCGCCCTAATGTAGATCTTACATGACTCTGGGTGGTTTAGCTTATAGTTTCTCGCGGGACGAACACAATGTGAACGGGAGCATCAGACGTGTGGTTACCTTTCTTATAGGACAGAGAGAGGATCTCCTCCACCTGCTCGGCGAAGCCCATGTCCAGCATCTGGTCCACCTCGTCCAGCACCACGTGCTTCAGCTGAGACAGATCCAGCTTGTTATTCTGCAGATGGTCTCGGATTCGACCCGGCGTGCCCACCAGTACGTCGATGCCATTGCGGATCGCTTCCACTGATGCCACAACAAGTCAATCAGCAGGTTACTAAACATCTCCAAACTGTAGTTCTGTATTTATTTTTCCATTCTTTCTTCCAACTGAATTAAACTACAGATGCTTTTCTGTCACTGATCATTCAGTTACAGTCATTACTATGATGATTAAAGCCCTACGTTGTGGGTTGTATGAGCTTCCTCCGTAGAAGCACGTAACAGAGAGTCTCCTGGTGACGTCTTTGAAGTCTTTGGCCACCTGAATGGCGAGCTCACGAGTCGGCGTCAGAACCAGCACCTGTGTGGACACACATCACACATTCCTATCATACTGGACAAAACTGTGCACACATTCAACCAAATTCATTTCTCAAGATCCCAAAAAAACAAACAGGCACCATTTCTACGCAGGGCTCTGAACCGGTTCAAGGAACAAGAACAAAAACCGGAAACGAACGAAATTGACAGAACCAGAAACTAAATCAAATGTTATAGTTCCGAACAGAATCGAAAATTTGAAATGGCCATTAACCGGTTAATAACGTTATTTTATCGTTCCATTTAATATTTGAAATATTAAATTCCAGTAGTACGGTCTATGCAAATGTGACGCTGACATCTCATCATATAAACTATAGGCTTACATAAAAAGGAATATATAGGCCTATATTTCACTTAAATCATTGACGGATCAACAAAACGAAAGATAAGAATGTGCCGAGTTACGGTTCGTTGTGAAGTTCTCGGAAAGGAAAACGAGACGGCAGAAAGTAGCTTTCTTTATTCTGCAAATCTTGACCGTTTTGAATGTTTCACGCGCACACAGACACAACATATTTTTGTGACATTGCAGCCTGTTTGTTATCAAAATAGAGTACAGTTAAAGAAACGTATAAACTGCTCCGTTGCATTCGGCGTGACCAGCGCCTCACTGAGCTGATATAGCCGAAGTGAAGGATGATGTTTTACATCGAGGAATGTACAAAGCCTAGTCTATAATAAATAATATTTTAGCATCCAGATACGTCGCGAAATATCGTTTGGATTTGTGCTGAATGAGAGAGGTAGTCATCAGTTTCACCTTAAATTAATGTGTTTTTGGATTGACGTTTTTATAGCCTAAACTTTACAGGATTTGTTGTGGAGAGAAACTAATAACTGTTTACATTTTGCTTTAGCCTACCGGCATTTTAGCTTGCATTATTTCTGAATGTAATAATAAATTGTGACGTGACGTGTTTTTTCTTCTTCCTCAAAACGCAATTTTACACAAGCTCTTTTTTTTTAACAATGCAGTAAACATTTTCAAATATCTTTCAAAAATACTTTAATGTCTTTAAAGCATTGTTAGATTTTTTCTTTTGTATAGTAGCCTACATTTGGGCAAAAAGATGATGGTGTACTGGCTGTGACTTATGTCCGACGTAGAAGTATAAATCAGCCTTAAAACATTTTTTTTAAATAAATGACATAAATGAGGCTTGCTCACACTTTCCAGGGCCTCACTAAGCATCATGCATTTAAAACACTGAATGAGAATGAACTTAAACTCGCATTAAAAGCATTTTTACGTCTTGCTGTGATTTGCGAATAGTGACTGTGCACGATTTCTGGGTTACTCATCAAAAGTAAATTAAAGCAGTAACATTGATCGTGTGTTTTTCAGAACAGCAGCATCTTCACGAGTGCACTTTTAGAGCAGCACTCATGGCGTTTTAAAAGCAGTGGTTTACAGCATGAGCCTGTGTTTATCGTGCACTGACACACATATGACCGCAGTACCTTCGGGGCCCGGCCTCTTCTCCTGTCCTCCGCTGCGGACTGCAGCTTCTCCACCAGAGGGACAGCGAACGAGAAGGTCTTCCCCGTGCCGGTCCTCGCCTGGCCAATGACATCCTTCCCATCATACACCGAGTTAAAGGTCTTCACTTGGATGTCGAAGAGATACGAAACACCACGGGCTAAAAGAAAGAGAGATATTTCACAACACAGTCCCAGTGCATATTTCAGCAGATCCCCCTGCAGGCCGTGTGTGCAGCGTTACCCCGCAGCAGTGTGATGGTGTTCTGCGAGATCCGGAAGTTGGAGAAGGCTCCTTCTTTCTGCTCCGGGGTTTCCTAAAGACACGAGCAGATCGTCAGAAATCACCAGGGGCCAGATGTTCAGCTGGATTTGGAAATCCCATGTTCTGCGATCCAGGATCAGGGAACCCATCTTACTTTAGTGCAGGTTTTTCAAAGCAAAACTGGATTGGATCACCCTGATCCAGATACACACCATTTCAGATTTCCAAATCTGGATTACTAGAGCTCTACGGAGCCCCTAAAGGGACATGCTGATGGGGGAAAATACCAGTGTTTTGCATTGCATTTACACAAATATCTACTTCTGACTGCTCCATCTCTGATGATTGTGATTGTAGTTTACAATCAATGATTTAAAAAAACTAACTTTAAATTAAATGTACTATTTTTATTGATATTGACAGCGGTTTAGAGATTTGGGGATATATTGCATGTTACAAATGCTGTATTTTTTGGACTAGTTTTAAAGTTGTATTACATTTTTGTTCCTGAAATCCACTCTTCTGCTGGGATCAGAATAATCCCGTTTATTTTGGGGATAATTACGTATCCCAATCTTACTAAGCGTTTTGAACAACACAACCTGAGGATTTAATCCAGATCAAAACCCAGATCTAATCTGAATTCAGAATGCTTTGCTTCTTTTGAACAACCCATTTTCTAGAAGTGATGTGATGGCCAGAATCTGCTCGGGTTCTGTCTGAACGGCTGGCCCCAGAGCAGCTCACTCGGAGCAGAAGCAGAGGAATAAAGGCTTGTACACACTTTCTCGCGCTCGCTGTCTGAGTCCTCGCTGGACGGTCCAGGCGTATCTACAGCTGACACACATGCTTTATCAGGCTCTCCGTTGCCCATCACGTCCTCCACATTTGCCTTCTTCTTCTTCTTCTTCAGCTGCACAGAGATGTCAGTTAAAGACACGTGCTCCAGAACAATGATTATGACTTCCATGAGATCTGAAATCAGAAGAAAGCCGTTACCTTGATCTGGATTGTGTCCGTGTTTCCGTTCGTGTCTGTGGATTCGGTGGGCATCTTCTCAGCCTTTCTCTTCTTGGGAGTCGGTGGATCACACTCATCTGCCACCTGTTTCGGTTCTTTCATTTTCTTTTTCTTTTTCTGGAGAATTAAAAGACAAAAAACGAGAGGTTCATCTAGCAGGGATGTGTCAGTGATCTTTACTTAATATCTAGTGTGTGTGTGTGAGAGAGTGTGTGTGTGTGTGTGTGAGAGAGTGTGTGTGTGTGTGTGAGAGTGAGAGTGAGTGTGTGAGAGAGAGTGTGTGTGTGAGAGTGTGTGAGTGAGTGAGTGAGTGAGTGTGTGAGAGCGTGTGAGAGAGTGTGTGTGTGTGAGAGAGAGAGTGTGTGTGTGTGAGAGAGAGAGTGTGTGTGTGAGAGAGAGAGAGAGTGTGTGTGTGAGAGAGAG